ACTATATATATAAAAAAAACCACCCAAATCCTGTCTTCAAACAACAAAAAAAGCCTTTTTGAATCATCACTCCCAGTTATGAACTGAATCTTTGTGTCCCTCCAAAATTCACAGATTGAAATCCTAACCCCCAAGGTGACAGTATTAAGAGGTGGGCCTTTGAGAAGTAACTGGGTCACGAGGGTGGAGCCCTCATAAATGGGATCGGTGCCCCTACAAGAGTCCAGAGACTGAGCTGGGTCTCTTTCCACCATGTACGGATACGAGAAGAGGGCCTTCACCAGAACCTGACGCTGGCATCCTGACCTCTTACTTCCAGCCTCTAGAACTGCGAGAAATAAATATTTGTTCTTTATAAGCCACCCAGCCTATGGCACTTTGTTACAGCAGCCTGAACAACTAAGACATTCCCTGGTTTTATTTTTTTATGTCAAGTTTGATTTGAAATTTTGTATATCAGATATTCACAACTAAAGGTATTCCCCCTTCCCCTCTCTCACCTGCCTGCTCTGTACATTACCGACTGCAGGAGCCAAACTTTACCAGCCTTTATTCTGGAGGCCTCTTAAAGACACACCTGGCTCTTCTCCCCAGCTGACTCACGCCCAGCACCGTCAGAGCTTTTAGGCATCAAATTGTCACACGCATCTTCAACACAACCTTCCACACTGACATCAGTTCTTCTGCATTTTGAAAATGATTAATTTTTTTAACAAGACACTACATGTCCCTTATTTAACTGCCCCAAGAATCAGAGTTTATTATTATTCAGGTGACCTAATTTTTTAATCACTTATTCTAGTGCAATAATGATTTCCTAGAGCTTTACTCCCAGGAGAGCTCTATTCACAGCTTCTGCCATCCTTTGAGATTACTGAAGCTTAAAATAAAAGGAAGAATGCCTTATGACATGTACCTTTTGTTTTTAATCTCATTTTGCCTTTCATTAAAATAAGAAAAAATAAGTGTTCTTATTTTCACCACGTCAGTCCTGCTTCTATGTTCCCGTCATTCAGCGGAATAGCTAGGGCAGCTCTCTCTCGACAGTCAAGTTCATAATAAGTTTTCCCGGAAGCTGGGGACAGCATGTGGTTGCTGAAACTATGCTGAGGGTCACAGACAATGGGCAGCAAATTTTCAACCAGACTTCCCTTTATGCCAGCTTGATTTAAAATCAATTTACTTAATAGTAAGAACATTCAGCTGAAGTACAAGATGTCCCTGTTTTTCTCCTCCAACTTTGGAATTTGAAAAAGAAAGAATACAAATGCTACATACATGTTGAAAAGTTAGAAAACACAAATAGGCAAAGAAAAATAAGATGCCCCCAAATCTCACCCTGCAGTGATATTTTCTCATATCTCCTTCCCCACTCTCTCACGCACATATAAAAATCGTGTTTCCAAGTACTGTGTGTGCATGGTCTTGTTGGATCCTTGCCACAGACTGGAAAACAGGAATTATTATTCTTGCTCCCATTTTACAGATGAAGAAAGGAGGCTCAGAGTGGTTAGGAACAAATGGCTTGGCCTCTACTTTATCACAACAGCTGTAATAGAGCTGAGATGCAGACTCAGGCACCCTGACAGGAGCCCACACCCGAACGCTAGGCCACACTGCCACTTACAACACACACAGCCATGTGTGTAACGGCCCTTTTGCACTCAGGAATAGGTTGTGAACACCCTTATGTCAGTATACACAGATCTTCATGGGTCGCCATCATTTTAAACAGCCCTGTAACACTCCACTGAATGCATGTACCATAATTTAACCACTCCCCTCTGATGCTTGCCTCCAATTCTGCACTGCCAGGAACAAACCTGTGTGTGTATATATTTATATGTTTATGCATTCATCTAATTAGTTCTGCAGGATAAATTCTTAAAAATGAGATTGCTTAGTCAAAGTCATGTCCCTTTTTTTTCTGTAGGGCTTTCAATATGCGTTGGCAGCACTGAGGAGAAAAGGCAGGTGTCTTTAAATTCTGTTTTGCTCTAGGTATAGTCTCCCTTTTCTTTTCAACCACCAAAGGAAGACAAGGAAAGCTTCCTCTAGCACAGTTATTATGCCAGTTTGAACTGGTCTTCTACTAAAACTCTGTCTCAATCTCAGGTAAGAAAAAAATATTTCTGCTATGATTCTGATGTTGTTTTAATTCCTGACAATACTAAAATTAGATTAAAAAAAAAGAATCTTATAAAAGCAATTAAGTATCTAAGTTTTATTTTCCTTCCGCAAAATGGGGAAAGCATTACCTGCTTTCCTGACTTTATTCGATTATTATAAACGAAAGGGGCATAGGAAGGTAAGTGAAGAGGGTATAGAGCTTGTTGGCCCTGAAGTCAGAGTCCCCGGGTTTGTGTACAGTCACCGCTACTTTCTAGCTGTGTGACCCTACATAGGTATTTGGCCTCCCTGCGTGACCACAGCCCCTCCCAGAGTTGTTGAGTGAGACCGTCTAGGAAAAGCTCTTAGCACAGAACCAGCCACAATGGTGAGCACGCTATGAAGGCTGGCTAGTGTAGATGCTGCCACAGCTGTTATGAAAAGGCCCTGTTGACTTTTCGGGGCCCATAGTGTAGGGGCCACCGCAATATGGAGGGAGAAGCCCCAGCGTTCCTCCTCGGAGGTGACCGTCACACTGAAGCTCCCGGGCAGTTACCTCAGGGGCGTGGTAGGAGATGCACTGGAAGATCCAGTCCATGGCGGGCGAGTACAAGGGGAGGTAAGATGGGAGGTCCACTCCTTGGACCACCAGCTGGTTCTGGACCGTGTCCCCGTGAATCTACAGGAGACCAAATAAACACTTAGCAAAGGAGGAGAAAACCAAACAACAAACAAAGAGCGTATAATTCAAAGACAGTGCGTACTTATAAGCATTTGGATGGCCCCAAGAGAAACAGCCTGGTTTCTCAAGTTGTTTTTTTTTTTTAAACTAGAAAAAACATTCAGAAAGTTTCTCATGTCACCAAGCTGAGCTGTTTTGGGAATATGCTCTGTGGAAAGAAGTAACCTGATAAAAATGGAGCCAGCAGATGCTGAGAAGAAAGGCTGATCAACTGGAGATGTTTCCTGTTAGCACATGTATATTAACTCTCTGCACTTGTTCGGTACAATCAACACATTTTAATTGTCCACAGCAGACGCTAGTGTAATTTTCTAGGGTTTGTACATTTAAAGAGCTTTAAGGCATTCTCAACTTGGAAAACCAACTGGGTTTGTGAATTCGCTATCATGTAATTGTCATGTCGATTAGCTATTCGGATAGTGTTCTCTTACCTGTTTGAATGTAAGGAGGAAGTCAAAAAAGTTCTTATTTAGGCTTTCCTTGAGATGGGGAGCCACTTCCATTCCCACCTGCAGCCAAACAAAATGAGATTACCTTGACAATGGGAAAACAAGTTGTAAATAGTAACTACAGTGTGATGGCATTTCTGTTAATGAAAAAAACACATACACATATGTACAGATATAGAGAAAAAGTCCAAAGTTAATTTTCATTGTTTTTGCTTATGTTTTCTTATTTAATAAACACGTACTGCTTTTATAAGAAAAACCCACAGAAGCTATTTTTAACGAAAAAAGGGCAACATTTGCAGTAATCATCTTTGCAATTTCCCAAAGGTAAAAAATGTATTTCTGAACAGATGACCAAGAGAACAAAAATCAATATCGCCCTAAAAAGGAATGTACTCTCAAGATGGTGTATACAATATTCTCTTCCTCTCAAAAAAATGATAAATACACATGTGGTTATACTTATTAGATGAAGCGAAAAGATTACAGTGCATCAGAGAGTCAGCTTGGATTTTGGATACTGTGCTACCACTATTGCATGGTTCAAAGCTATACAGATTCTTTGCTAGGCAGTCATGAAAGCAAACATAGATTTTAATATATTTCAAGCAATTTTCCATAAGACAAGTATGAAGCATAATAATGCTATAACCCATTGGCTCCTGAATTCATTGTTTAAAAAACAGATTGTAACATTTCCACCTGAAGAAATCTGTTAGTCACAGAGAAGATGCCAGAGCACTGGGGTTAGAACATTGGAGGTATGAGCTAGGGAGAGGAGTTCATATATTTAAAACAAAACATCACAATATTCTTTATACTGAGCTCCTCAGAAATGCCTCAATTCCAAATTGCTGCTTAACCACAAAAACAGCTTCGTAAGGGAAACCCCTTGCTTCAAATGGGGACCCATTTTTCCCACTTACCTTCCCCCACCCAGAGGTCGTGATGGTTAACAATAATGATGTGTTTCAGACGGCTGTGAACAATTCCTCTGGAAAGATTTATTCCAGAACCACCAGGGCATTAAATTCTAAGAGCAGCTCTAGGGTTGTTGAGTAAAGGAAGGAATGTTTCCAAGGACAAACACATAAATTAAAAAAAATACTAACAACAAATGTCAGATCTAGTTCTACTGTGTTCTGATTCTATTGTCTTCCCTTCCACTTAATCCTATTGTGGAAAAGGCAATAATTATCTGTAAGGCGACAGCAAAGGCTGCCTGGTGGTAGATGAGCCCTGGAGATGAGCCGAAGGGGTTAATCATACTTTCCTTTAATAAACAGCTTCAAGCTCCCCCTACGCCTGACCCACTCGCTGCTTTTGTTTTTTGTTTATCTCTTCTCGTCAAGCCAAATGAGCAGCTTGGAAATCTGCTTGGGTCTAGAAGATTTCTACCCAGGGCAATAGGGTAGTTGCTCAAGATTTCCATCTGCTGTTGCAGTCTGGCCGGCATTCAGCCCCTTTGCTTCTGGTACCAGCAAAGCGATTTGTCTTTGGGGAATCGAACCTTCCCCTCAGCCCAGGAGGTTTGTGGCAGAGCTGGACCCACCCGCCCCAGTTCCAGGGTTGAGTACAAGAGCCAGACACGGTCCGTAAGCACATCCCATCTCACGGTGATTAGTGTAGGATGGGGCAGGTGACCAAGGTGGTCCACTGAGAATCAGCCCTGAGACTCAGGTTAGATCTCCTTGGAAACCCCTTTTTCCAACAGGGTTCCCAAGCTGGTAGGATGGAAGCCTGGAGCTGATACGGGCCACCATGTCGAAAGAGCAAGCTACAGAATGAAGCCAACTCACAGGAAAGCAGAGCTGAGTGATCGAGGGAGAGGCTGATTCCTGGCATGGCCCTCTAAGGCCCTGGATCTAGCCATGGCTGCACCAACCCTGGCCTCTTCAGGCACACAAGCCAATAAATTCCTCTTTTTGCTTAAAGTAGTATGAATTGGGTTTTTGCCACTTGCAACTGAAAGAATCACAATGCACAGACTATCTCTTATTTTTTCTATGTCAAAAGACTTTTAGTGACTTCCCAACCAGGGGATCGATGCATTGTGGGGATTGACAAAATGACTGCAATAGATGCAGGACACACCAGTCTTTCTGGGATGGGTCCGCTTTGTCCTCCGCATCTTCTCCTCATTGTCACCGTGTTTTCAAGTCACATCTGCCATTCAAAGGCACTTTGATGTAACAAACGTGATCTTTTCCCTAGCTCACATACCTTACTTCAAACTTTAAAACTGAACAGGTTTGCAAGGAATGTGTATTTCCCTCCTTTCTGCTTTCTCTTGAATAACCAGAATCATCTTCATAAGACACAGCATGATTCTAAGTCTTTATTACTTGATCATTCAATAGACGTCAGGGTGAGTTCAAAGAATTTGCTATGTTCTACCAGGCGAGAGGCAGTGGAATGGAATTATGCAAATGATGACATCTTTGCATCTCTCCCACAGAACCCAGCAGTGTTATGTGCACAGGAGGCGCTCAGCAAACACTGACTTGGAAGGAGTATTCAAGCTTCAATATGTTCAAAAGTTGAAGCTCTTGGAAACACACCTGCTATTCCTGGATGAAAAGTCCACCCCACGTTTCAAGCAGAGAGCGATGCACACTTGGGCGTCTGTTCCAAAATGGGAGTAGGGAGCCCTTAAACAAAGACTTTTTCTTTCATTCTCAGTAGCAAGGACACCTATAAAAAATATCCTTCGTAATGTTGTTGACCATTTACTAAGGGCAGTGATGGAGTTTTCTGTGACACTTGAGACCACAGGGCTTCCGTCGTCTGCTAGATGTCAGGTAGAAGAAGCAAATCAAAGGCTGCATGTTCTCCAATGAGTGCGATGCGCACCTCCGGGGGAATGGACACACTTGAAGCTCGGACTTGGGGGGGAGGTAGGGTAAGGGCATCATATGTAACCTAATCATCTGTACCCCCATAACATGCTGGAAAAAAAAAAATAAAAAAAAAAAAGGCTGCATGTTCTCGCCTTCTGACTTAATAACATGCAGAACGGCTCATGAGTTTCTAACTGTAGCTTTGCCCTCAAGGAAGTCTGGGGTTCACTGGGGCAACAAGCTCTCTCTGAAGGTGCACGATGCTGATGGGACAAGGGCTGTTGCCTGGGAGTCCTCACGAGGGCAGCGCCCCTGGGTGGGTTGCAGGAAACTGACCACATGCTCTCCGTGGGTGATATTTTTCATAGGTAAAAAACTTATTATAATTAGTTTTAAGTAGAAGCCTCACAACACTTTAAAGGAGAGAAAGGGCAGGTGATTTATAATCAGAGTGCCTGCCTACGGCAATCCCGTCACCCTCCGAGGCCTGCTGTCGTGTGGGACACCGCTCACCTGCCCAACGGTCTCACCAACTTGCACTCTGAGCCAACTCTTTAATAGGAGGATAAAAGAACTGATAAAGCAATCAAATTCAAGACAAAAGGGCAAGCAAGTTTCAAGTCAATGAAATGCAACCTGTCATCTGCAAGGCTTTGGGAGCCTCCTTCCCAGCAAGAACTGAGAAACAATTAATTCTCAAAACCAGTTCATTTGTAAGAAGATGACCTTAAAACGCTTCCTAATTAGAGTGATGGTAAGTTGGTCTACTTTAAAATTAATTTTTAAAAGAAATCCTACAGCTCTACTTTCTGTGGAAGAGCCAGGTTCCAAAATTAGCAGCTAATAAAGTCCTTCTCTCTGTGACTTGTGAGGTGCGGGACGAAGCAGCCCAGGTGAACGGCTAAGGACACAGGCGGCAGCCGCCCGTGCGAGGGCAGCGCCTGGTGCGACCTACCCGGCACAGGTAGGCGCGGGCGTACACCGACACCAGCGGGTCTCCGATCCCTCTGATCATGCATGTTAATCGAGGCAGGCACTCGGAAATTCCCCTGCAAGGGACAAAAAGAGGACAGCATTATAGCCGATGTGAGAACTCGCCGTTCTTTTATTTTTAAAGATAAAAACTTCTTCAGTTTTGTGGGGGTGGGGATCAAGTTTCAGTAACACACCAAGGTCAAAGTTTCAGAGTTCTCTAAGGCAATGTAACAACAGTCCTTCTGTCTTGATACAATTCATTCACTGAGTGATTTCTTTCATCTTTATCATTTGCTCAGTGCTGGAGTCTAACCACATTTTTTCCTGCTCGAGGTCACATTTATTTTACTAATGTTAACAGTTTTTGCCTCCAGTGATTTTCCATGGACTGGTCACCCCTTGATCTGCTCTCCCCATCTGGGTTCCTTTGCACTGATTTACTGCACCGTGCCCTGCTCCTTCCTAGCACCTGAAGCTGGATCAACATCCTCCACCCCTGTCTATGTGAATTATGATTTCTTTTTCCTGCAACATAGGACCTCCCTCAGCCTAAGGCATTATCCTCCCCCAACGGGTGAGGCAAAATAACTGTTTCTTTAGCACCCATGTGATCCCCCCAAACTATCCCAGGCATCCCTAGATCCAAGTCAAACACCTTTGGGGTAAATTATAAATCCAATCAAAATGGTTATTGATGAAGCACCATGAGTCAGTCCCCGGCTTCAAAGAGTTTATTATCTAGCTATCCAGCATGACTCAGTATTTCATCAGCTCTGCAGAAAGCAGATCTGGGTTCCCAAGCTCTGTAATTATTCTTAAAACAATGTCTAAGATGTAGCCGGGCACAGTGGCAGATGCCTGTAGGCCCAGCTACTCAGGAGGCTGAGGCAGAAGGATCATTTGAGCCCAGGAGTTAAAGACCAGCCTGGGCAACACAGCAAGACCCCATCTCAAAAAAAACACAAAAAAACAAAAAAAACAAAAAAAACAAAACCCAGTATCAGTGATGAACCAGAGTGGCACCAGGCCTAAGCCCTAAGGGCGCAGGCTTCTGCTTCCAACATCAACATTTTCATCATCAAACAGCAGCAGCAACACTGAGCGTGGGCCCACTGAGTTCCAGGCAAGACTCAGTTTTGCATGTGCAGCTCAGAGGATCCACACAGACCTCTTCTTAGGAGAAAAGACTGAGGCTCAGGGACCCTAAATAACTTGCTCAGGACCACACATTAGTAACAGCACAGCCAGGATTCAAATCCAACGGGGATGATCTTCCATGAGCTATTAACCAACCTCTCCTAGCTTGAGTTTTCCTCTCTATGATATGGGGATTAAGATGGTGTCTCCACTTCATTAAGTTTTCATTTCATTGGCACACCCTAAGGACTCGGTGAATAATAACTACTATTACATTGCCATTAGTGTGTGTGTGTGTGTGTGTGTGTGTGTGTGTGTGTGTGTGTGTGCACGCGCACGTGTGTGATATTTAGAAATTTTATGATTCTGGGCATTAGAAAAGAGCCTTACGTTTTAGAGAGGAACCTGTTACACTTCAGGATGGATGCTTCCACATAACTACAAAAACATTCTGTTAAGGAAGATATTTTCCAGATGGCCTATTCGCTACGGAGGAAAAAACGAAATTATTCATGAACAGAAATAGGCAGGTCTCAGGAACTGGGGACCATGATGGCCCTAAACAATCCAGAAAATTAAGTAAGCTAGTGGCTTGTGGTTTCCAGACATGGTTTTCAAGGTTTCATACTTATTTAAAATAAACTTTGGAAAATGTTACATGTTGACTCATGGCTGCATGCTGAAATCTAAACTGGGTTTTGAGCATTTCCAATGAAGGCTTTATGGGGAAAGAATGAACTTTAGTTAACTAAGATGCGATTTGTGTATAAGATGAATTTTCTGTTCTTCAATATTGGCAGTTGTGCAGAAAAGTTTGACCCTGTTCTTTCAAGTTCTTGGAACCAGAGAAAACACATAAAGATGGAGCATTTCAAATGAGAGAATTAATGTGGGAATGTTCCTCTAGGAAACAAAAGCCTGATACATGGCATCATATTCAAAGTAAAAAACAAAAAACTGTTTGGAGAGAGCAAGAGTCCAAGGGCTTCCACAACGTGGCTCACCCTGTATTTTCAGGCTAGCAACCGTAACGGGACCAGACTTTCAACAGGAATTTCAGGGCATCCCATCACGTGGCTTCTATTAACAGTGCAACTCTTCTAGCCTATCTTTAAAATCATCAGACAAAAAAAAGGATACAATCTCGGAATGAGTTCCCTGATGGAAGCAATCTTGAAAAACCAATTTAGGCATGTTTCCTTGGCCGTGTCATTTGTATTCTCTGGAGAAAAGTGATCTGTAACACAAAAACAGTAACCATCAGCCCCCCTAAATCTCACTTGCTATGAATCCTGGGATAGGAACAAGTTACCACGGAGCAGAAAAGGGGGTAGGGTATTCAATCCCTTTGTGTCTTCCCTTGCAAATATCATTACTAGGAAGCAACAGATAATAATAGTTTGCACACACACAGGCTTTCTAGGTGCCAGGTGCTATTCAGAATGCTTTATAGATGTTAGCTCACCTAATCCCCACAACAGCCCTGCGAGGTATGTACTTTCATTATCCTCTTTTATAGGCGCAGAGACGGAGGCACAGAGAAGTTTAGTAACTTGCTCAGGGCCCACAGAAAGCAAATGTAAGAGCTGGAATTCAATCCAGGCAGTCTGGTATCATTGCCTACATTCTTAATCACCGCCTCTAATATAATCCAGAGGTTTGTGGTTACCTACCAGTAACTAAGACAGTATTGTTGAGAATTCCAGATGCTTTAGGGACCTGCAACTGCAACATGAAATGTGATCTCAGCTTTTGCTCTACACATCACATGGGCCAGCCTGAAGGTAAAGCAAGGCCCGGAGATGAGAAACCAGCCAGAGCCAGGCTGCCAGCTCCAGACTGGCTCCAAGACCCATGTCACCTTGGGGTGAAACTGCCGGTTACCTCGTATCTATTCTCTTCCTCTTTAATAATAGAGCTCTCATTTTTCTGCTGGGCTAACGGCCATCCTTACAGCTAGGTGTGGTCATGGGACCAAGTTCTGGACCCAGAATAGAAAGAGAAGTGCAACTTCTGGGAAATATCTTTAAGGGAAGGGGCTTGCCCTCCCTTGCTCCTTCTTGCTTGCTGATTGGAATGCAGATACAATAGCTGGAACCTCTGTAGCCACATTGGACCATGAGAGCAACAAGACAGAAGTCAGGATCCCGGCACTGTCTCGCTGCCCCAACAACCCTGAACTCTGTTATTATTTTGAGTTTTCTGGCACAGGCATCCAAGCCTAATCTTGATATAAAAAAAAAAAAAAAAACACAACAGAAATTTATTTCTCACAATTCTAGACTTGACATACATCTTAAGGAATGCAAGAGAGCATGAAAAAAAAACAATAAACAAACTTATCAATACCACAAAGGCTACTGTTGAATTCTCACATGGAAATGATTTCTTCTAAATGATTTCAGCAAAGATTGGAGCTCCATCCCACCAATGAGCATGTTTTATAGTTTGAGGATTCGATTGAAAAGAGAAAAGTTAATCATTTTAGAATATAACAAATGATTCTTAGCTTGTTGGCTCTCATCTTGTGCAATGAGTCACTTTTCATCTCTGATTCTGCCACTTGGTGATATATGATTAAGGTGATCAAAATTTCTATGGAATCAGCAAAAAAGATAAAACCTCTAGGTACTTCTCTAGCAGAGAACAGTCACTAATCACAACTGCAGATCCGGTGAAACTGCAGTCTTGAGTATTTACTATTTTTGGATGCCTGGCATGCTTTATTCATTTGAGAACTATTCGCTATTTCAAAAGGATGGGAAATAACTATTCTCCCCTTCCTGGCCTGAATCCGTACACATAAATTAACTTTTTTCCTATTTTTGAGAGCTCCAGACAAGAAAAGATAAGGGATATTCTTAAATTCACTTGTCAATCTTGTCTTTTGGGAGAGGGAGGGGCAGGGTTAATTTCCCTTCATATGACTGAATCATGTGGCTTACAGTCCAAAAGCAAAAATAAGTCTCTGAGGTCAGCTCTAAAATCTCTCATTCTATAATTGAGGGAACTGAGGCTTAGCAAATGGTGAAACAGTGATGCAGTTTGCCTAAAAGAGCTGGAAATCACTCTAAAGGCACCTTGCCCTGCATACACACACTGACTGCAAGCTATACAACAATCCGCATATGCCAGGGTGGGGAACCTGCAGCCACAAGGCCACATGTGGCCTTCTAGGTCCTTAAACATGGCCTTTTGATGGAATCCAAATCTTACAGAACAATTCCTTTTATTTTCATTAATACATTTTTGTTCATCTTTTATATTTTTATTTTTAAAATGAATGTATTTAAA